TTAAAAGCACAAGCGGGAGAAACCAAGATGGTGGCATAGGTAAACACATAAACTGCTGACTTGCACAACAATTTCAAAACTGCAACTAAACACACAACACAAAATGGACATCATCCAGAACCAAAGGAAAGCTGGCTGAGTAGAAATTCTACAACTAGAAGAAAAGAGAAAAGCTCACAGAGAGCCGGAACCAGTTTGGCTCAATGGATAGAGTGTCAGCCTGTGGACTGAAAGGTCCCAGGTTTTATTCCCAGTCAAGGGCATGTACCTTGGTTGCAGGCACATCCCCAGTAGGGGGTATGCAAGAGGCAGTTTCTAACTCTCTCTTCCTCTCTGTAAAAAATCAATAAAGTATATATTTTTTAAAAAGCTCATGGAGCTGAAACCAGTTTGGCTCAGTGGTAGAGCGTCAGTCTGTGGAAAGATCCCGGGTTCAATTCTGGTCAAGGGCATATACCTTCGTTGCGGGCACATCCCCGGTAGGGGGTGTGCAAGAGGCAGCTGGTCAATGTTTCTCTTTCATCAACGTTTCCTCTCTCCCTTCCTCTCTGTAAAAAATCAATAAAATATATTTTTTAAAAAGCTCACAGAGAATCAGAGGAGCTGCAAAAGGCTGAGGTGTGGAGATGTACATGAAGAGGACTGACAGCTGACTGCCTGGCTGGCTATCTCAAGTGGGAGGGAGATGGGAGCTCCCAACTGCACTGAACCCCAGACCCTGGGGACCCAGACTCATACAGGGGGAATCTGGACTGTCAGGAAAAGAGAAAAACACACGGAGACTCAGGGAAACTGCGAAAGACTGAGGTATGGAGACATGCTCGCAGAGAGGACTGACTTCTGAGTGTGCTGCTGACTTTCTCAAGTGGGAGGGAGACGGAAGCTCCCAACTATGCTTAACTCCAGTTCCGGGCAAGAAGCTGGGAATCCAGACTCATTTGGGGAGAAATTGGAGTGTCTGGGAGCAGGTGAAACTCAAGGGCAGTTTTTTCTCAGAGGTGCTTGCAGTGATTACAGAGGGACACTGAGACATAGGGGCCTCTTAGGGCAGGGCTGACAGGAAGACAAGGCTGTCTGCTCCACTCTGAGACTCCAACCCATCCAAGATGAGCACAAAGGTTTTTGCAATTTTGCAAGTATTGTCTCATAAGGGTGTGTCCAGCACAGAAGTTCTCCCATCATAGACACAGCCGATCCTCACAGCCAATTGGCCTGGAGGTCAATTCCTCCCAGTGATACCAACAACAATCAAGACTTAACTACAACAAGGCTGTGCACACAGCCCACAAAGGGGTGCACCAAGAGTGTCCACCTCAGGTAACTGGGGAGGCTGAGCCACTGGGTCCTATAGGACACCGAGCACACAAAGCCACCCTACCAACACAGGGAAGCAGCAAAAATGCGGAGACAAGGAAACAGATCACAAGTGAAAGAAATGGAGGAAAGCAAACTACTGGATATAGAGTTCAAAACCATGGTTATAAGGTTTTTCAAGAATTTCCTTGAAAAGGCCAATAAATTTAATGAGGATATGAAAACTAGAAATTAAGCATACACTGACTGAAATAAAAAATATTATACAGAGACCTAACAGCATCTAGAGGACTACAGTAATCAAGTCAAATATTTGAAATACAAAGAAGCAAAAAACACTCAACCAGAAAAGAAAAAAGAAAAAAGAATCCAAAAATGTGAAGATAGTGTAAGGAGTCTCTGGCACAACTTCAAGTATACCAACAGCAGAATTATTGGTGTCCCAGAAGAAGAGAGAGAGCAAGATACTGAAAACCTATTTAAAAAAAATAATGACTGCAAATAGACTTACAAGTCCAGGAGGCACACTGAACCCCAAACAAAAGAAATCCAAAGAGGACCACACCAAGACACATCATAATTAAAATGACAAAGAGAGAATATTAAAAGCAGCAAGAGAAAAGCAGGTAGTTACCTATAAAGGAGCACCCATACAATTGTCAGCAGATTTCTCAACAGAAACTATGCAGGTCAGACAGGAGTGGCAAGAAATATTCAAAGTAATGAATAGCAAGAACCTACAATCAAAATTACTCTACCCAGCAAAGTTATCATTCAGAATTGAAGGGCAGATAAAGAGCTTTATGGATAAGAAAAAACTAAAGGAGTTCAACACCAAACCAGTATTACATGAAATGCTGAAATGTATTCTTTAAGAAGAGGAAGAAAAAGAAAAAGGTAAAGATAAAAATTATGAACAACAAATACATATCTATCAACAAGTGAATCTAAAAATCAAGTGAATTAAAAATCTGATGAACAGAATAAATGGTGAATATAATAGAATCAGGTGCATAGAAAGGGAGTGAACTGACAATTCTTAGGAGATAAGAGGTGTGAGGGGTGCGGGAAGAGACTGGACAAAAATCGTACTCCTATGGATGAGGACAGTTGGGGGGAGGTAAGGGCAGAGGATGGGGTGAGAATCACGTGGAGGGGAGCTATGTGGGAGGGGGAGGAAGGAACAAGTGTAATAATCTGAACAATAAAGATTTATTAAATTTAAAAAATTAAAAAAGCACAAGCCATAAAAAAATAATTATTGGGCTTCATCTAATTTTTTTAATTTTGCTCTTTAAAAGATATAATTTTTTAAGTGAAAATACAAGCTATAGACAGGAGTGAAAAATCTATGGAATACATATATATTTGACAAAAAACAGGTATCTAAAATATATAAAAGAACCCCTACAGCTCAATAAGAATAACCCAATTTAAAAATGGGCAAAATATTTGAACAGGTATTTTACAAAATAAGATACACAAATGATAAACACTTGAAAAGATGCTCAACATCAGTCATCATCAAATAAATACAAATATAAATAAAAACTAGTAGAAATGTCACTATACACATCCACTACAATGGCTGTAATTAGGAAGACTGACAATTCCAAGTGTTTGCGAGATGTAGAACAACTGGAATTCTTATACATTGCTGGTAGAAATGCAAAATGTACAGGAAAAGTCCTAGCTGGTTTGGCTCAGTGGCTACAGCGTCAGCCTATAGACTGAAGGCTCCTGGTTCAATTCCGGTCCTGGGCACATGCCCAGGTTTTGGGCTTGATCCCCATTGGTGGCCATGCAGGAGGCAGCCGATCAATGATTCTCTCTCATCATTGATGTTTCTGTCTCTCCCTTTCCCTTCCTCTCTGAAATCAATTAAAAATATATGTGTTTTTTTGCCGAAACCGGTTTGGCTCAGCGGTAGAGCATCGGTCTGCGGACTGAAAGGTCCCAGGTTTGATTCCGGTCAAGGGCATGTACATTGGTGTTGCGGGCACATCCCTGGTAGGGGGTGTGCAAGAGGCAGCTGGTCGATGTTTCTCTCTCATCGACGTTTCTACCTCTCTATCTCTCTCCCTTCCTCTCTGTAAGAAAAATCAATAAAATATAGTTTAAAATATATATATATGTGTGTGTGTGTGTGTGTGTGTGTGTGTGTGTGTGTATGTGTGTGTGTGTGTGTGTGTGTGTTTAAATAAACAAAATGTACAAGAAAATAGTTTTACATAGTCTGGTATATGTTTACCAATGATCCAGCAATTCCACTCCTGGGTACGTATCCAAGAAAAATGAAAACGTATGTCCAAAGCAAAGACTTGCTCTCAAATGTTCATGGCATTTGTATTCAAAATAATCTAAACCTGGGCTACCCAAATATCCATCAACAGGTGTATCAGCCAGGCTTGCGTTACAAGGAATTGGTTTACGCTACTATGAAGGCTGGCTCAGCAAGTCTGACATCCACAGCGCAGGTCTCCAGACTGGAGCTCTCTCTCGGACTGGAAGCTGCAGTCCACACAACTTCAGGGGAAGCTGTGTTGCCCTCGAGGCCTTTCAATCATTGATTCTCCCCCACCCACGTGACTGAGGGTAATCTTTACTTAAAAGCAACTGATGGGAGATGTGAAGCATGTCTACTAAACACCTACATTAGTGTTGGCCTGAATAACTGGATATAGTAGCCCCGCCAAGTTGGCAGCTGAGCAGTAGGTGACTGCATATACAAACTCAATACTAATCAACAAAAACCAACTATTGATACAAGCAGTAATGTGGATAAATAAATCCTAAACAAGTTTTGTTCAGCCAACGAGGGCAGACAAGCAGTTCCTATGATACTATTTATGCATGAAATTCCAGAATAGCCTATGCTAATCTGTAGTGTCAGAAAGACATTTGCCTGATATCAATTAGGCCTTAAGCGGAGCAGACTTAAGCAAGGGAAACAAGAAAATTGGGGGCCGTGGTAGAAATGATGACTGCGGTGAGGCCTACACAGGTGTGTGCATTTGTTAAAATGCATCTAATCATACACCTTAAATGAGTACATTCTTGTATGTAAGTTATTTTTTCCAATAAAATTGACATTTTAAAAATGGAAAAGGAAAGGAAAGGAAAGGAAAGGAAAGGAAAGGAAAGGAAAGGAAAGGAAAGGAAAGGAAAGGAAAGGAAAGGAAAGGAAAGGAAAGGAAAGGAAAGGAAAAAAAAGGGAAAAAAAGGGGAAAAAGGGGGAAAAAAGGGGAAAAAAAGGAAAAGAAAAAGAAAAGCTGGTTCCTGCACAGCAGACGCTCCAACCAGGGTTCCAGAGAGATGGATCCAGCTACATCCTGCAGCACCGCCCTCGGGAAAGACTATCCCTTCCCCATAGAACGGCTGGCGCCTCTGCTGAAAATCAGCAAAACTTACATGAGGGTGAGGAGTCCCGAAATGGGAGGGACAGGGATGAGGGTGCCAGGAGAGTTCCCGGTGCTTCCGGACGCTGTGCTCTGCTGTTTGTTAAGTGACGGGCCCTGACAGCTCAGTCTCTCTGACTCCTCACCAGCTGCCACACCCGCTCCTGGCAGTGGGACAAGCCATCCTTCTGGAAGCTGGGCTCTCCGCTCCGTTACCCACACTTGGGGGGAGGGCGGGGGAAGGGGAGGCAAGAAGAAAGCGGTGAGCACCCAGAAGCGCGAGCGCCAGGGCTTCCTCCGGGGGCAAAGCCTCTCCAGGCGGGGCAGCAGGCGCTGCAGACCCCCCAGTGCCGCCCCGCAGCACCCACCTCACCTGGGAGCGGCCTCAAGTGCAAACGCCTGGGCGCCGGGCGGCCTGCTGGATGGGGAACCTCAATGGGGAACCGGCGGGGCCGCAGCACGTGCGTCTTCACCGGCTTCCAGGTGCTCCGGAGGGAGCCACGGGGCCAAGGACGGCCGGCCGACGGGGCGGGGAGAAGGGCCCCCCTTAGGGCTGATTCGGCACCATCCGTGCCCTCCGCGGGCCTCATAACAGCTGCGGGGGGCAGCGGGCGAGGCGGGATCAGGCCGGCGGCGGAGCCAGAGGGAGCGCGCCGAGGACGGGCCACAGCGAGGCCAGCCGGGCGGGTCAGGGGCCCGGAGCGCACGACGCGCACTTCCCCCGCGTGCGGCCCCGTGCGGGCCGCTCCTCCCCGCGCCTCCCCTCCCCGGGCCGCCCCGCAGCGCCCCGCCGGCGCCCCCGGCTCCCCCGGCGCCATGGAGCGCAGCCGCACCAGCACCCCGGACAAGGCCGGGGCAGTGGTGCTGTGGGGTGAGTGCGCACACGGGATGCAGGTGATGCTGGCGCGTCTGCCGCCGGGCGAGGACTGACTGCCCGGAGGACGGGGCCCCCCACTCCCTGCCTCTCCTCCCTTCCAGGCTGTGAGCTAAACCAGGAGAAGCGGACCTGGACCTTCAAGCCGCAAAAGGAGGGGAAGGACTGTAAGCTGTTGCTCAATACGGTGGGTGCTCCCCCTCCCTCCCCAACCCCAAGGCGGGGAGTCTGACCCCTACAGATGCATCAAGGTTTGCCTCCTCTGCCCTCCCGGGGCTGCGGTCCGCCCTCTCAGATTTGCCTGGGGGAGAAGGTCAAAGGGGAGATGAACCTCGTGGAGATCGTGCCCCCAGCAAGCCAGGAGGAGAAGAGGACCAAGCTCATCCCCATCGCCTCGCTGCAGGCCTCCGTCCTGCCCACGGTGAGCCTTGCCTGACGCCCGGGGCTCTGCTGCTCCGCTCACTGCGCAGTGGGCGTCCTGCCACAGCGTGGCCATGCTGGAGAGGGCATGTGGCCCAGGACTAAAGCCTGAGCTCATCCTGACCCCATCCCAGCCCGCCCTTGACTAGCTGCGGAGTGGTGGTTAACTAGCTTCTCTTCCAAATCACGTATTCTGTTTACTGATGGTGTCCGGACACTGCTGATGACTTAAATATTGATTGTGTATCTAGAAATTCTCGCATTTCTAATGACTTATCTAGTGTTTTCTATACAAAAACATCACTGTGAATGGCAGTGTTTGTGTCCCTTTTTAAAATCCTACTACACTGGTTGGGGCCTCCGGTATCGTATCAAGTATCGTATCAGATAAAGCAATAATGGTAGATGCCCGTGCTTCCTTCTTGATTTCTTTCTAAAGAAATGCTTCTAACGCCTCTCCGTTAAGTATGACAGGTTTGGTAGACACGCTTTGTCAGCTTCGGGAAGTCCCCATCCCATCCTGCTCTGCGTTTAAAATTAGGTTTTCTTCTTTTAATCAAGAGTGGTTATCAAACACTTTCCTATTCAAATGATCTTTGGTTCTTTTCTTCTCTAATCTGTTGAGTGGTAAGTTACATTAATAGAATAACATTAAGCAAACTTTGCATTCCTGAGAAAAACACAATTTGATCATATTATAAACTGCTAGATTTGCTTGGTTAATATAGTGAGACTTTAAAAAAAAATGTACACACTCCTAAGTGAGGTTGGCCTATAAATTCCTTATCTGGGTATCAAGGCCTGCTGGCCTCATGAGGGTGGAGTGTGCTCTTCCGTGGCGGGGAACAGTGGATATCAGACTAGGATGATCTGTCCTTGAAAATCTGGGAGACTGACCTTGTAAGACTGCCCTCAAACTCCCTTTTTCCCCTCCCTCTGAGATCGCCCTAGATCTCATTCGTTCCCGTGGTTTTAAAGACCATCTATACAAAGTGAATACTCTGAAAATACTCTGGGTTTTTGTGTAAACCCAACTCTGAGTATGTTTAGGAGATATGGAAGAGATATCCCAAACATAACAAATCTAAATCCAAATTGTTAATTTTTATCTATAATCTCCCTGCCCCAAACCGGATCCTCTCCCAGGGCACAGCTCCTCAGGCAGGACAGAGCCTCCCTCCTCAACACCCCCAGGCTGAGCCACCTTCCCCAGTCTGACCACATCCACCTCCCTGCTGCACCTGGTCCAGGGGACCATCGCTTCCCGCTATTGCAGGGACTGCTCACTGGTCTACCTGCCTCAGCCTTTGGTCCCCTATAGTCTGATCCAGGGGTTGACAAACTACAAGGTCAAATCCAGCCCACTGCCTGTTTTTGTCAAGTTTTATCTAAACACAGCTATCCTCCTTCGTTTGCATATTATCCAAGGCTGTTTTCATGCAGTAACAGCAGGGTTGAGTATTCTCCGCAGACCGTGAGGTTTACAAACTAAAAGATTTACCATCTAGCCCTTTCCAGAAGTTTGCCAGCCTCTGGTCTCTTCTATACATGGCTGCAGGCAAGATTCTCTTAAACAAAGTCAGGCTGTGTTGCTTCTCTGGTCACTGGCTTCCCATTTCATTGAGAATGAGATTAAAGATGATTTATGTTCTGGCCCTCAGCATCCTCCACTTTCGCTGCTCTCCCCTCCCTGATCCTGCTGCAGCCACACTGGCTTCACTGACTACACCCTGAAAACTCCCCAGGACCCCTCCTCAGAGTCCTAGCATTTACTGTTTCCGGGCCAGGGCTACGCCTGTCCCCCACTTCCATCTGGTCTTTCTTCGAAGGGCATCTCGTCGCAGAGGTCTTTCCTGACCACGGCAGCATCCCCTCAGCCTCCCAGCCCATCCTCCCTTTCCCCCCATAGAACCGACGGCTGGCATCAGTCTTCATGTGTGCGTTCTTCCTCCCTAACCATCACCTCCAGGAGAGCCAGGACGTGGCCTGTTGTGTGTGCTACCTTATCCACACTGCCTAACAGTGCGTGGTGTACCACAGGAACTCCATCTGTAGTGAAGGAGTGAGTGAATAAGCAAATGAATTATGTGAGACTGGTTTGTTTTTAAGTCACTGTGATTTATTTAAGTTTATGATCTACTCAGATGTTTCTATTTCTTTTTTAAAAAATATATTTTTTACAGAGAGAAAGACAGAGGGATAGAGAGTTAGAAACATCGATGAGAAACATCAATCAGCTGCCTACTGCACACTCCCTACCAAGGTACATGCCCTTGACCAGAATCCAACCTGGGACCCTTGAGTCCACAGGCCCATGCTCTACCCTCTGAGCCAAACCAGCTAGGGCTCTATTTCTTGTTTTTAATATATTTTATTGAGCCAAACTGGCTGGGCTGCAATAGTGTATTTTAAAAAGCACAAGTTTTGCCGAAGCCGGTTTGGCTCAGTGGTAGAGCGTCTGCCTGCGGACTGAAAGGTCCCAGGTTCGAGTCCAGTCAAGGGCATGTACCTTGGTTGCAGGCACATCCCCAGTAGGGGGTGTGCAAGAGGCAGCTGGTTGATATTTCTCTCTCATCGACGTTTCTAGCTCTCTATCTCTCTCCCTTTCTCTCTGTTAAAAATCAATAAAATATATTTAAAAAAAAAAAAGCACAGTTTTTAATTTGGATAGTCCATTCTAACTTTTTTTTCCCCCTCTTATGGGTTCATCCTTTGATGTCCTAAGAAATCATTACCTAAGGTCACAAATGTTTTCCTCTAGAAGTGCTATTGTTTTAGCTCTTATATCTCAGTCTCTGATCCATTTCAAGATCTTTTTTTTTTTTTTTTTTTTTTTGGTAAGGTATGAAATAAGGATAAAGTAACTCCCCCTCCCCCAAATGATATCCAGTGCAGTAGCACCATTTTTTAAAAACACTATTTTAGCATTTTTGTCAAAAGTCAATTGACTACATATGATTGCATCTATTCTAATCTCTACTGTGTCATTGCTTTATATGTTTACCGTTTTCAATAATAGCCTGACTTAATTATTGTAGTTTTATAATGTCTTTTTAAAAAAATATACTTTATTGATTTTTTACAGAGATGAAGAGAGAGGGATAGAGTTAGAAACATCGATGAGAGAGAATCATCGATCAGCTGCCTCTTTATAATAAGTCTTAAAATAAGGTAAATTGACTATATTAATCTTCCACATTGTAGCCCGTATTCGTGCTTCATTTCTTTTGTTGTCAAAGACTATTCATTGCACAGATATAGCACCTTTCACTCATCCTTCCAGGAGGTGATGGACACTTGGATTGTCTCAATTTTTTGGCTACTATGAGTACTGTTACCAACATTCATGTGCAGAGTTATTAATGAGCATATGCCTTCATTTCTCTTGAGCATTTACCTGAAGTGCAATTGCTGGGTCCTCTGTGGTAGTTTTATGTATAACACTTTGAGGAACTACTTAAAAGTTTCTCAAAATAGTCACACTGTGTACAATTCTACTGACAATGTATAAGGATTCTAGCATCCTCCCCAGCACTTGATATTGTCTGTAATCATTTTTTTAAAAAAATATGTTGTATTGAATTTTTACAGAGAGGAAGGGAGAGGAGTAAAGAGAAACTATCAATGAGAGGGAAACATAAATCAGCTGCCTCCAGCAACACCCCCTACTGGGGATGTGTCCCCAACCAAGGTTCCAGAACCAAACCTGGGACCCTTCAGTCCGCAGGCCGATGCCCTATCCACTGAGCCAAACCGGTTAGGACTGTCTGTAATCTTGACTAGTCCTCTTAGTGGGTGTGACCTGGTAGCTCTGTGTGGTTTTAATTTGCATTTCCCTGATGACTCATGATGCTGGGCATCTCTTCATGTGCTTATTGGTCATTTCTTTATCTTTTTTTGGAGAGCTGTCTATTCAAGTCTTTATTCATCCCACAAGTTTTGTATGGTTTTTGTTTTTATTCAGTTGAAATTATTGTATTGTTCCCTACGGTATTTAGAAGTGTGTATATTTTAAATTTTCCAAATAATACGGCTTTTCTAAGACTTTTTCATTGATTTCTAGTTTCATTCCATCAAGGTCGGAGAGCATGCTCTATGTGATTTCAGTCTAACCTGCGCTGCGACTTGTTTTACGACCCAGAGTGTGTTATCTTGTTGAATATTTCACTTACACTTGAAGGAGGCGTGTTCTCGTTTTGTTGGGTGTGTTGCTCTATAAATGTCAATTATATCCAGTTGGTTGGTTGTTTTGTTGGAGTCTTCTCCAGTCTTATTATCTGTCTGGTTGACCTATTAAATACTGAGAGGAGAATGTTGAAGCCTTCAACAGGAGTTGTGGTTTGTCTGTTTATCCTTTCAGTTGCTAGTTTTTACTTCAAGTATTTTGAAGCTCTTATTAGGCACATATGGGTGCTATATCCTCTTGGTTAATTGAGCCCTTCATCATTATGAATGCCCCTCCCTATCTCTAGTAGATATTGCAACATCCACTTAATCTGATTACTAACATAGTTGCTCCTCCCCTCTTTTCATTCGTGTTTCTGTGGTATTTTTCCTGTTCTGTGTTGTGGGTTGTTGTTTTTGTTGTTTTTTTTTTAATATGTTTTTATTGATTTTAAAGAGGGGAAAGGAGAGGGAAAGAGAGGGAGAAAAAAATCAACACATCAATCAACTCAATCAGCTGTCCCCTGCACACCGGCTACTGGCGATCGAGCCCACAACCCAGGCATGTGCCCTGACTGGGAATCAAACCAGCAACCTTTTGGTGCACAGCACAGCGTTCAATCAACTGAGCCACACTGGCCAGGGCTTTTTTCCTCCTTTATTATTTTGTTATCATTTTACTTTTAACCTCTGTATTTTTATGTATAAAATAGATTTTTTTCTAGATACCATGTATTTCTTACTTTTTTATCCAAAGTGATAAACTCTGCCTTTTAATTTGAGTATGTAAATGATTAATATTTACTGTAATTATCAATAAGATTTGGCTTAAATCTA